TTTACCTGTCTATAGATGAGAGGACTATACAACTATACAGCAGTGCATGGGATTCTTCAGGGAAAACTATTTCACTAGGAGGGTGGTGAAACACTGGAATGCGTTACCTAGGGAGGTGGTGGAGTCTCCTTCCTTGGAGGTTTTTAAGGCCCGGCTTGACAAAGCCCTGGCTGGGATGATTTAGCTGGGAATTGGTCCTGCTTTGAGCAGGGGGTTGGACTAGATGACCTCTTGAGGTCCCTTCCAACTTTGATATTCTATGATTCTATGATTCTATGCCTTCGGTTCTCCATTAAAAACAAGCTTCTGTTAGCTCCTTTCCTAAATATAAGACCAGATAAGCAGTCAGCATATAGATGACTCCTGGCTCCAACGTATTTAGGGAAAAGGGTGCCAAAGCTTAACTTAAGCTTGCTCTAGCAATGCTTTCCCCTGCCCTATAACATATATAGACAGAGAGTGGGCTGACTAATTCTATGACCTGGAGGAGTAGAACCCTTTCCTTCTGATTCCTTTCTTCACAAATATGCACTGATGGGGCTGGCCTGGCAATCCCAACCTTTACCCTGGCTGTGAAAACAGCAAGTCCAGGATGACAGGCAACACCAGAGTGTGCTTTTAAGGTCTCTCTGAGGTTGATCCTGAAGGTCTTAGCAGAGTAACCTCCGGCATGTCTCCTAGAAGCCATGTATCCCTTACAAGTAACTCCCCCAGCTAACATCCGGCACTGGCACCATCCACTGTCAGAAGGCAGGATACTGGGCTAGATGGACCATGGGCCTGACCCAGTATGGCTGCTCTTATGTTCTTAACATGTACCCCCACCACGCTAGTCCACATTCAGCTCTCCATGGGCATCAGCCCTGTGCCACTGAAGATCCCAACGCCCCAAACTGGCAGGTCAAGGCCACTCAGGAGTGGAATGCCACTGACGGTCATCCCAAGTAAATGACTGAGAACAGAGCTCACTGAGGATGTGGGGAGATGAAATTTGGTGAGGAGAGAAAAGTTTGAGGTTTTGTTTCCAGTCTAACACGGGTTTGTGTTGAAGTAGGAAAGCAGGATACGCATCCCTCACATCAGAAAATAAAGTGAAGTAATGTCCCGTGAGTGTGTGGCAATTCAGATGGGACTGGAGGAGAACAGACAAGTCAAGTGAAGCCTGGGAGTGGTGGAAAGGTCAGGTCAAACGCAGGAGGTTCCTGCACTGTAGCCAGTTTTATGTCTGAGAATGCTGACACCCGAGGAGGTGAAGTAACTTGAACAATGAGTCTGGGATCTCATACTCATTCCTTCCAGGATTTTGCTCCAGTTGAGTGCTAGAATTCAGGGCTTCCTTCTGTTTTGGAGCTTTACCTCAGCCAACCTGCAGGTGAAGGGTATGGGGCAGTCCCTGGAAATCCTGGAGGCCATGGTTCAGAGGAGGACCTCACAGCCCAGTGACTCAGTGAGCCTATGCGAAGGTTGGACAATACAGTGCTGTGCTCTGTGGGCAGCTCACATGACTGTAAGTCAATGGTGTTGATAAGGCACAAAAGGCGGCAGTTAGCTTCTACTCCTACTCACCCGGCTGTATCTGAACGTTCATGCAGCTGGAGAGAGCTTCTGCTGCTGCAATGCAGGCCTTCACTTTGCTGGGGCTAGAGAGGTCGCCCCGGCTCAGAGCCTGGCGGTGCTTCTTGCTAAGGTCCAGATTACTCTAATTAAAAACCCAAGAGAACTGATTTAATGCATGCTGTCTTCCTATCCCTCCTCCCCTCACCAGCATCCGAGTTTGGTGTCCTATGCCCTGTGTGCACATATGAAGGATGGGCACTCTCACTGCTTTAAGTGGCACAGTGCTACATTAAACTGCCAGGCTGCATTCCCAGTCAAATGCATCGTGCTGCCATTTCCCCTTCCAAAATAATAGTGCACCATAAAAACAGCAGAGCTCCCAAATGGGGTCATGGCAAGGGAGAGCCTAGGGATCCAAATCACAGAGCAGGGCTCCAGGGTGCTAGGGGCTGTACAAACACATAACACACAGACAGTCCCTGCCCCAGGAGATTACAAGTTAGAGAGGATTATTGAAGGCCATGCATCCAGGGGCAACTATTTTAGCATCAGATTGCTGCCTCAGCAGCAGTGCGAAAAACTCATGCCACTGTTCTCGTTCCCATGTGACACAGTTATATGGGAATGAGACATAGTGACATACTTATAACAGGAGAGGCAGAACAATCCTGGAAGCTGATTGGCTGGTGAAGAGATAAGAAGAATTTCAGGTAAACATGGTCCAGAAAAATCAAACATTTCTCTCCTTTCCCCCACCACAAATATGACCCTTGTTGATAGTAGCTGCATCCTGTGCTGCAATGCAATTAAAGAGTTAATGTTTTAGCTGTCACTATGCCCAGGAATGGTGCTGAGAATCTGTGTCATTGCTCATAAAGCACTGGTCTTTGTTGTGAACTCATGGGCCTCTCTGTGCTCCTTTCTGTTGCCTGGTCAGTAGCAGCATGACACATAAAGCTGTCTTTGTTCCATGAGACTCTCTGATTCCAGCCATGTCACCTCTGCTGCACCTGGGCCACACCCCCTCATTTTAAATCTGAGCAGTGTGCCCATCACCATAGTATCTAGGCCTCAAAGAACTGCCCGGCTCCCTCACTCCTAAGCCAGACAGGCTGGGAGCCCGGTGGAGGCAGGTCTGGATCAGGCTCCCTAAGCCCAGTGGGAGTCTGTCCCCTGACTTCAATGGGCCATGCATCATTCCCTCTGTGACTTCACCTACCGTGAGGAAGAGAATCTCGCTCATGAGCTTCTCATGGTTGGAGTCTATCTGGTGCAGCAAGGAGTTCCCCTGCTGGATGTGATCCATCTGCTGCTTCACACTCCCCAGCAGCTCATCATAAACTTGCAAGGTCTCCTCCACTTTGGCAACCTCTGCCAGGGCCTCGTCAATGGAGCCCATCAGCAGTGTCACCTGCTTCTCGGAAGAGATGATGGCCTGGAGATTGGCCTGTGAACAAGAGAAGTAGAGTGGTCTGGTACAGCACAATGCTAGTGCAGTGATGGGTGCTGTGGTTGGCTTATATTCACATACACACAGACACTTTGATCACTAGCTAGGATCAAAGACAGGGACTTCTGCAAGAAAGCCACCAGGCCTCTGCCACTTGGGCCAAAACAGAACTCTTTCGGTGGCAATGTGCAACAGTTTGTTAAAATGCCTGCGGTCCACTACTAGAGGTAGACATTCAGTCTCTCTCTCTCTCTCTCTCTCTCTCTCTCTCTCACACACACACACACAGCGTCAATGTATCCTATTTATACTCAGCTAAGATAAAATGCCTTTGGATTAGTGCCATAGCAGCAGAGGTTTCTGGAGGCCATGCCATGCCATGGGGTTCTGCTGTGTGCCCTGCAAGGTTCTGAGAGTCTGACATGTCCACAGCACCAGCTCAGAATATGAAGCCAAGTGGCATGGCAGCTTCTGAACCACTCATGCAAACACAAGACCCTTCCCTAGATACAGCCTTTGAAGGCCTTGACATGATATTATGCCAGGGAAATGTTGCACGCTGGGCATGTGTGGAGCACATTCCTTTTGTATTCAGACATGAAGCCAAGCTCCACGGCATTTTGTAGTATCCACCTTTCTTCCCACTCTGAGGAATTCTCCTGCCGCCTTCAGTGGGGCTGCCGGAGGGAATCCAAGATGACAGTTCATGTGTGGGGCTGTCTCAATTTGTGTGCGGTGAGATTTCATGGGACCTGTGCCATCCAGGGATATGGAGTATCACAAAGTAGGTGCACTCCCATAATAATTTCAATCTAACACATTGTCTAAGGGTCACGTGCTGTTCCAACAGCACAGCCCTGGATAGCTAGGTCTTGCACTGGAGAGATCCATTGGATTGAGAGAGGAAGTGAACAGACCTTCCTCCTCAGGCAGGGGAGAGGTTCTGCTTCTGTATATCCAGTTTAAGGCCATGTTCATAACACGCACATGTGCTCTCAGCCTCACCCACCCCAAAACCCACAAAGGAAGGCTCTATGCTGCTTTCCCTCCAGCCTGTCCACGCTTCAGCTCCTCAATGCAGCTCCCTGGGCTCTCAGATTCCAGGCAGCTGCTGCAGAGTGCCCCACAGCCCCTAAGGTGGCTGCTGCCCCAGAGAGATGGTGGAGAGCAGGAGGCCCTGTAAGAGCCCCATCCACTACCAGCCCAAGGAGGAAAAAGGAAATAGCAACTCCAGCAGAGTAGCTGGAACCGCCACAGCTACCTCCTCGAGTAGACTCCACAAAGAGCAGAAGAAAGAAGGGTGCTGTAGGGCTGGTGATGGCACCTGGTTTTCCTACAGGGCCCTGGGTGCTCTGCTACTTCCTGCTCCTTGTGGGGGGACACACTGGGGACAGCAGCAATGACTGGCTCATTGCTCTGCTGGAGCTCTTGCTCCCCTCCACTTGCCAAGGGTGAGTGTGGACTCCGGGGCGCTATGTGACCCTATAGCCAGCTCTCCCTATGGCCATATTTCTCTGCATTCCCACAAAAGTATCTGACCCAGGCCATTATGAGGAGGCACGCAAATTCTGAGCCAATAGCCACCACACACATGGTTTCCTATGTGTTACCCCGCTGAGCTGTTTTGATGGTGGAATTAATGAACAGTTAAATCACGCATGACATGTACATATATATAAGAAAATGGGAGGCACTATTAGCCTCAGGAGGTCTTAGACATTTGCTTTGACAGGCCATGGAGCTATAATTGCTTGTTAATCATCATGGACAAGATCTATGAGAGATTAACTGGTTTTGAAATGGTAATTGAATCGTAGCCACTGGTTGAAGCACCATGTTGGGTATCAAATAAGATAATCGATAGACACAGGCCTGGGAGGATTGAAGTTTCTGGTCTGTTGTTTTTCTGTCTTTTAAATGAGTTTGTCTTTGTTAATATTAAAATTAGGTGATACGTTTTTTATTAAATAAAAAGCAACATCAACAGAAGCATCTGTGCCCCCACAGTAAACACAGGCAGTGCTTTGCAACCATGAAGGCCACAAAGGAAAGGAGACAGAGGTTCTGTAAATCAACAAGAGGCCTGGCTTCCTAGAAAAGTTAGAAGGGGCTGTGTGATGGGGTATTCACCCCAAGCCAGAAAGGAAGGGGTTAAAAGCAGCGTAGGGAGGCAGTGCAGGGAGCAGCCAATTAGAGAGAGGCTGCACAGCGCAGCCAATCAGGGCCCAGCAGGCTCACATAAAAGTCTGCTGGGCAGACTAGGATCAGTTACTGTGGGGAGCCTAAGGAGAGAGGACTGTGTTCCTAACAGCCTGCAGGAAGGTAGTACCTTGGACAGAGCAGTTGCTGGCTGGCTGCTGGCACTTGCGGATTGGAGGCCCTGAGAAGAGTACAAAGAAGGTGCTGGGTCCCATGGGGAAGTGGCCCAGGGAATTGAAGCAGCTCTGCTGGCGAAGTTAAAGAGAGGCAGTGGGACGCTTCTATAGCCAGGGTCCCTGGAGTAGTGGATGGGCCCAGGTCCCCTCCTCTCACCACTGGGAGAGTGGCTGGACAATAGAACTGGGAGATACTCCTCCCACACACACCCCTGCACAGGAACACAGATGGTGACATGACTGGAGGGCGGAGTCATGAAAGGACATTGCCGTTCCTCGACTGAGGTGAGTCTGTAGGAGGAGAAAGCGCTGGGAGCGGCACTACCAGGAGAGGGCGTGCTGGCTGAGAAAGCTAATCTGTGTGATGGTGGGCAGGAGGTGCCACTCTGGTGAGGGAATTCTGTCACAAGCTGCCCTAGACCCAAAGAAGGTCAGTCTACAGAGCCTCACTGAAGGAAGATCTCATTTCTGCTCCCCTGAAGGGAGCAAGGCCGCCACTTCCTGCAGCTCCCATTGGCAGGGAATGGTGAACCGCAGCCACTTGGACCTGCTGGGGGCCATGCCTGCAGATGGTCAATGTCAGCAAACTGTCTCGTGGCCCACAATCAGATTACTCTGATGGGCTGCAGGTTGCCCACCACTGCCATAGGGGCACCAGGCATACCTGTCTGTCCCACATATGGTACCATTTTAGGAGAGGCATGGCTTGAAGCTGGTGGGCTTGGCCTCAGCCATAGACAAAAAGACCCACAATGGAGCAGGGAAAATTCAGTAGAGTCCTAAATGAAACAAAGACCTGAAAACTGGGCAAATAGCCTGCCACTCACTCCTTGAACTCTAATGAAGCCATGTATGAAGAGAAAAGAGGGCAAGCTTTTCCACAAGCACCCGATGAGAGTGATGACAGAAACCACTGAGCTTCTGCTTGCTCAACACCCCCTCACCCTCGAACACTCAGAAGGAACTGAGTAGCATTTGGGGCTTTGTGTGTGGCTCCATGCCGGTTCTTATCTCAAAGACCCACAAAAACTAAGGCAGGCAACTTTTTCCTCCCGCTCTGAAATTTCTTGGAAGCTGCCAGGTAACAAACCAGTGTAATTTCCCCATTGCTGCTCAGCTGCCTTTGAGTCTCAGTTTTCCAGCTTCACTGCAGTAGCTCCAGGCTATGCTCCACAAGGTTCCAACTGACATTTTGTTTTTTATTAAGTGCTACTAAATTATAGCCATAAACCTCCAGCAAGCCTGTCACTGCTGTCCCTTTCATTTTCTTATTAGGGCTTTTCAGAGCCTTGGGGCTTTGCCTTTAGCAAAGCAGCACCAATCAAACTGGCAGGAGAACTGCTAGAAGGGACAGCTCTCTGGAGAAATATTGCTCAGGTAATGATAATAACTCTACTGCATGAGACGTCTCTGAGTTTCAGAAACTCATGTGGATTTAAGAATGCCCTGGAAATCAGCAAGTGAACTAGGGTATCAAGGTATGAACTGGAGCTCCACGCCTCACAAATACAATGGCCACCATCTCACTCGCCACAACATTTTAGCAACATTTTGTTAATGTTTGCAAAGTGCTTTGAGATCCCTAGAGGAAAGGTGCTCTAAAAGAACAAAGTGTTTATTGTTATGCTGTAGGAAGTATATGAGCAGATGCATGACTCGGTTGTACACAATAATATTAATACTTATTGATAAATGCCACATTTATATTTATCAAAAGAATAAGTGTTAATAATTATGTATCAATTAATGGTCCTATAAATAAAGCACTCTGCAGCTCCTTTCATTTCCAAGAACTTAACCAATATTTATTATGTACCCTTGGAAGATAGGTATTGCTGTCCCTAATTTACTGATGGGGCAATTGAGGCACAGAGCAGTTATGTGACTTGACCAGGGAGCACACAGATGTTTGCTGTTAGAAACAGACCTCAGGAGTTCTGCTTCTCAGATCTAAGGACTACATACCAAAGCACAAAGAAGACACGCTGGTATGAAGCGACATAGAAACACAAGTGCAGAATAGAGCAAACATAAAGGAACACAAAGCAAAATGGATTTAGGATTTTGTGGATTCTGATAAATTTTAGGTCATTTCTTCTATTGTGTGGGGTTTTTTTGTGTTATTTAACTATAAAATCCAGTGGAGCAGGAAATATTGCTGTAGTGTAAGTGCTCTAAACAGGCATTTCATCATGTTCCCTCCAGTACTTAGAGACATAGGATGTCTTCCAGGGAAATGTAATAAAATACAGGAACATAAATAAATGGAATAAAACACACCAGCTTTTTCTTTTCCACATGCAGTGTCTCCTGTTATGAGCCTCTTACCTGTCAATAATTCCCTTGCTCTTTTACGTGCTTCCTCATCCCCTCGCTGCTCCCTCAATTCCATTCTTTCCTGGTCCTCTCCTCCCAGCCTTCCCTCTCGCCATGTCTCTCGGGCCTTGTCCTCACTGGGTTTTTACCTCAGGAAAGTTCACACATGCTAGCACCCCCCCAAGGTAAAAAAGGCACCTTTTTGAGCAGTGAAAACAAGCCCTTAGAGTCCCCACCTCCTTCCCTCTCTTGTCCCAAAGAACTCCATCTCTCCTATGCTCTGCTCTTCAGTTTTACCCCCTTCCCCTCCCACTCTGACACTGTAACCCCACTCTCATAGTTTCTCTCCTCCCCTCTCCCCTTGCTGGGCTGCTGCCTTTGAATGTCTATTTCCCCCTCTTCCTTTTCCTTATCCTCACCATAGTGGCTGCTGATGCCCTTGAGTGCACGGAGTGGGTCCCTTGTCTTTCTGTCCTCCTTGTGCCATCTACCTGCAGCCATGCTAGCTCCTCCACTTCGCTCTCCTCCCTCACGGCACTGGGAGCCCAATGGACAGGGAGACCTTGCTTTCAGGAGCGGCCCTAGCACCACTGGCGGAAGTCTGGTTGCCTCTCTTCCAGGTACTCCAAACAAACCAAAGGACCTGTATACATGAGCTATCTTTATGGGCCTGGGAAATACCCATGGTTTTCATGAGACATCATAGTGATGAATGTAACAGAAGCTGGTGTGTGCTGATCCCTGCCATGTATTAACCGTTTATAACTTGCCCCAAGTCATTTAACTGTTACCTGGAAATACACCCCATTCTCCTGGCAGCACTGCCGTGCGCTGGAGAAGCAATGTCTTTGAACTCTTTAGAGGAAGGGGAGAGGTATTTACTGCAGCAACACCCTCTGACAGCTGATCTCTGCTGCAGACTAAGGGTGTGTCAACACACAGCAACTCAGCTTTCAACTCAGGTTAGCAGCTTGAGTTCAAGCCTATATGTGAACTCAAGGAGCTAACCCGTTAAAAGCTGAGTTGCCCTATCTTCACTGCTATTTTAACCCAAGTTAGCTAGCACAGGTAAGCTGATTTGAGTTAAGAGCAGACTTTTTTTTTGCAGTGTAGACACACTCTGTTACTTTGAGGGCAGCTTCCAACGGGGGCTATTTACCTCTTCTCCCACCCAATGAAAGAGAGCCCGGGGCGGTGCAAAGCACTGTTAAATTAAAGGCAGTGACAACATTCCCACTGACTTCAGTGGGACAAGCTTTTGGCCCTAAATTGCTTTGTATCCTAATAATTGGCTTCTTAGCTCAAATAAAAAAGCCAGAGCTCTCAATGGGCCTCATCCAATTTCCAGTTAAGTTAATGGGATTCTTTTCCTTGACTTAGGTGGAGTTGCCAGGACTTAAGCAAATACCCAAGATGAATATCAGAAAGCCTCAGACGTCTTGCCCCTCACCTCATCCAGCACTTGGAGGTCTTTGCTCAACTTCTCTGCAAAGGCCATGGAATTATTCACTATCGGCTCATACTCCTCCATTAGCTTCAGCATGTCAGCCGTTTCCTTTGGTGTCATCTCCTGGTAGGCACTGTGCTCAGCCTGGTCCCCAGCCTCTGCGCTGGCGTTTCCAACCTCTTGTAGACTCTGTTTCCCTGTGTGCATGGGGGAGATGCATGGATGACCACAGCATTCTAGTTACTTCATTGTATCTACCTTTCCTTTCTGCGGAGTCGAATCAGTTCCAATCACTCACAAGTGACATGGGTACAACAGTCTTAGCCTACTTCCCAGGTGATATTTATTTATATTGGAAGAAAATCATGGCATGTCCCATCTGTCTCTGGGGAGGCGAGGATCAGGGCTGGGCTAGCAGGACACTGTTGTAGGTCACGCCTAAGGCATGTGGGCAGAGCAACCCTAACCTGGAGTCTAGTTGTGCTCCTGCCTGTTCCCACCCGAAGCAAGGGAAAGCCCACATGGTGATGAAGTATCTAGAGGGCACCTGCAGGATCCCAGAGATGCCCCCACCACCCCAATATCCTCAGATACACTGACAGACACATCCAAGAGAAAGATTCACCCTCATGCATCTCAATAGACGCACTGATTGGTAGCATTCCCCCAATAGGTGGATTGCCTCTTTTTAAGCTGATGCTGTTCCCCACTGCCACACCTTGTCCAGCCCAGATACAGCCATTAGAGGCAAGATAAACTGTCCATTTTTCATCCCAGCCCAGTACTTTCTCCATGTGGCAACAGTCATGGGAATAAATGAGCCTGCTCTATAAATACTCTCTTAAGCCTGAACTCCCTGGATGAGTGATTCCTTCTCTCTCTGTCTGTGACTGTCTCTCACATTTCATGCAGCAGGCCCTCGATCTCCCCTTCCCTCCCCATGAACAGGGTCCCTCTTCCCTGCTGTCACTGGGAATAAAATGAGCTTTGTCCCAATCTGACCTTTCCACCAAACTAACAAGGTGACAGCGAGGGGAAGAAGGAGATCCCACTAATTATCCACACCTATACAATTGCGAAGCCGTGGCTTAGCAGCCAAAGTATATCCAGTAGAGGCACATTTATCTGACTTCTGACCAACCAACAACCCTCGTTAACTAAAAGACAGCCATAAAGAAGATGTGTGTCTCTGGCAGCCAGGGCTGCTGTGCAAGAGTCAGAGGGGAGGAAAGAAGAAAGCATGTGCTCAAATTGCTGTAGCTAAAGGTCCTGTTTAGCTTCACTCTTGCTGGCCAAGACTAGCTCTGTTACACAGACTGTTTCTGTGGTCTGAATCTGGTTTCTCTGGGTAAGGCCTGTCGGCTTGTGAACCCAAGACTGCAGAGCTGGCAGATAACAAACACTGCTTTGCTACTGTCCAGTAGGAGCTGAAACCAACTTGCACTCCACTGCCCACAACCTGCTGCCAACACAGACCTCAGGAAGTCTCAACTGAAGGGGTCCGACAGGCAGCAGCCTGATAGCTCCTGATTGGCTCACGCTCACCATCCTGTATAAACCCACGGGGCATTCCAGGAAGTATCCAGGCAGCAGTGTGACTCTCCTGTAGCTACCTTTCCTATTCCTGCCCTTGAACTCCTGTCTTTGATCTTGGCTTGATCAGACTTTGCCTAAAATGTGACTCGGAGGCTGATCCAAATCCTTGGCATCAACCCTGGCCTGGATCTTGACTACAAACTCCTCTGCTACTCTAAGCCTCAGGTTTGATGCTGCTTGTGACTGCCCTTTCTGGATCCTGACACTTCCTCTGTTCTTTTCATTACACCATGGTTGCCTTAGATTGCTTTAAGGTGAAGTCATGGGTATGCCCTTCAAGGAAAGGCAGCCTTTTGACAAGCAGGGGGAAAATGGTACCTGTTCTGGAGCACAGTTGGGGCAATCTGTTAAAAAATCCCTCCTCCCCAATCCCTCCCCCCCAATCCCCAATACTGACTCCAGTCAGGAGGGTCACAAAAAATGCCAGGGTCCCACAAAGCATGACAGGAATAAGGAACTGAAGCTTACAGGGATCAAGGCAGAGAAAGCCACTCCTCACAAGTGTGATAAGAAGCCATAATTACCTTCCAGCATGCAGGAGGGGATGCTAACAAATGCAATGCTGCTGGAAAGGTATCGTCGGTTCAGCTTCCACAAGCATCTGATAAAGGCATTCTTCTCGTCAGCACTGACAGCTGTCCACTTGTAAACCTTATCAAACTGCAACTCAAACTCCAGACATTCCTAGACACCAATTACAAGAGCTGCAATTAATTACATTGCTGGCTATAACACATTTACTGTATGCTATGTGATACAATTTAACAAATGTGCTGAATACTGTAAAAGAGAAGACATCCTATGTAGCTAATGCAGCAGGCTCCAGTGTCAAATTGATTGCTAAGCAAACGGAGCATGGGATGAGCAATTTTGGAGGGCTGTAGCTCTGAGATTAGGATTTTTAATGCTACCACAAGGTCACATTGCAAATGAAGAGTCTGACATGGAGTTAATCTGAATTGAGTTCACTGATACAGAGAGTAACTTGATTTTAACAGTTCAATAGCAATGAATCATGTCTGCATCCATGCCACCTTGGGCGCTGATTGTGTCTGCTCTCATAATCCAAAATGTGTTGGGCATGGCTAGCAAATAGAGGAGTGCTCTCGAAGGAAAATTCAGATGCTGCTGTAGGTCTTGGTGATTCAGCTTGCAGGTAGGGCAGGTGCTGCCCATTGAAGCCAAGATCCTGATAGCTTGTGGGATGGTAGTGCAGCCTAGTGGATAGTCCTGTAGCCTAGGACTTGAAGGAGCTGCGTTCTGTTCCCTGCTTGGGTATTGAGTCATAGAATCATAGAATATCAGGGTTGGAAGGGACCTCCGGATGTCATCTAGTCCAACCTCCTGCTCAAAGCAGGACCAATCCCCAGACAGTGAGTGATCGTAGGCAAGTCAATTCAGCTCTTTGTATCTAATTTTCCCCATCTGTAAAATGGGGATTACATAAAGTGTTTTAAGATCTACAGATAAGAAGAGCTAGGCATTATTATGAACCAGATTTTCATACTCATCTTGCTACCTCCCCTACTGTTTGTTACCCACTACTAGTTGTGTCATGTCAATGTTCTATGAGCATTGATGGAGCTGCAGAGGCATATCTGTGGGACGAAGTTAGCCAGAAGTCTTATTACCTTGCCAGCAGATCAGCCCTCTGGTATGCTTCATGCTCCTTGGGAGATGGCCTGAGTCTCTGAGTCATGTGTTCATACAGTTTCTGGCTGGTCGTCACTGATGCAATTTTTCCTTGAGGTACCCTTTTGTTGGGAGAGTTCCCCCTTTTATAGAACTTAATTTCCCATCAGAGGGCACCAGATGGGATCCAACAGGTAGAGCCACACGGCTTCTTAATTATAACATGCAGAGGGTGAGAGTGTGGCAGATACAGGGATATTTTGGAGAGTTGTGATTTTAAAACTACTCTTGGGGCGAAGCCCTCAGAGTAAACACAGAATGTACCTATCCACTGAGGAAATACCCTTATTGGTCCTGACCCAGGCCTGAAATCTGAACCCTCTATTTCCCCAGCAGTTCAGATCATTGGCAAGAAGTTCCAAAAATGGTTTTCTCCATCCCTGTGCTTAACTCTCTCTGCCATGATGCTGCAGCATGTACAATTCTGTGGAGCATCCTGGAACATTCCTGACATTCCCTGCTTCATGCTAAGGAAAGGACACTTTGTGGAAATATGCAAGCACACTCCAGCAACAGTGAAAGGGTGAGGAGCAAGCCAGCATCTCCTTTATGGGCATTTAATTTGGCTTGAACTTGTGCCATGGTACTGAAAGAGAAGCAAATAGTGCAATATGATCTTTATTTGCTCCGATTCTTGTATATACTGTCCCCTTCCTCTAGTCCAAAGCAGGGGAAAGCTCTAAAGGCAGTTTTTAAAAAACAATCCCTGCCGTTTACTCCAGCTTCACTGGTTAGCAAGATGAAAAGGGGAAGCCCTGGGTACCAGAGAAAAAAATGTCAGTTCCCCCTTGTAATGGGGTGGCTTGTCCCTTAATGTCTGGAGGGCCGGGGGCTAGCCAAAACTGATTAATGAAGGAGGGCTAAAAAACCCCAAACTAATGGAAGAGAGACACTGAACTGAGGTTGGAGCCTGGAAGCCCAGTATATATCTGAGGACATTAAAGTGGACCCCAGGTACGGAAATGTTTTAATTTCCTGTTGAGTGTGTTTGAGGAGCCCTGAAGAAGGGGAAAGCAGAGGCCACAAGGGGGTGCTTGGGTGGTGCCCAGCCCTGTTACACCCCTTTTTAGCCCTTCAATGACAATTAAAAAGAAGAGCAGAGGAACTGCCAATCCATCACAGATCAGGGGTGCCTCTGGCTCCTGTCCCTGACTGTGACTGAAGCCCTCCTTGTGGTATAGATGCAACAGGACTGCTCTGTGATCAACATAAAGGAGATGCTTCACTGAGGCTGTTGCACACCGACAGATCCTATGGTTATTTCTAGCTCCCAGGCTAACACAGCCTGTGCTGCCTACTGTCACCATCTGGGGTCTCCTGAAGTCCCAGGCCTCGACTTGGCCAGCTCCATTATAGGGCCCAAAGCTGACTGCTTCTGGGGCATAATGGAATAAGGGGATACAGAGTGATCAGCTTGGAATATTCCACTCAGCCTGGTGTCTTCCTCAGCCAGCTCATTAGCACTGCGCTGTCCTAGCTTCCGGGAAGTTTGGAGGCAGCATTCATTATTATTGATCTTAATAATAATAATAATAATAGGCTCAGACTTTATGATGATTTATTCAGTCTTATGACACTTTACAGGGTGCTTTCTAAACACCTGGAAGTGATACATCACGCCCCCACACTGCTTTATAGGCTCACTAGCAGTCTCTGGAACAGCTTGTAGCAGTGCCATCTGCGGGGAATTTACGACCGGCCTGGTTTATAGCACGCCTTATAAGGCGCTATTAAAGCAGGGGGCTATCCAGGAATCGTTTCATAAATATTAATACAGTTTTTGTCAAGGGAGCTGTAACTTAAAGCGCAGAAGAATCTGCAATGTCAGGGCTCTGACAGCACCAGGGGAGGGCAGGTTCCTCATGAAACACAAGCTCGGTGTACAGGAGCAGGCTGTGAGGTGCAGGGGCTCTTTGGATGAAGCATAAGTTGTAAAAGTCCTTGCAGCCTGCCTGTTTTTGACCATTCACTTTCATTTTGTAGCAGAGGGAGGTTTTCCCAGAGTTGCATTAGTTAAAATGCCCTAGTGTTGCTCAGGCTCAGTAATTCATTCTCTGTGGTTTCCACAAGTTGTGTATATGTATCATAGAATCATAGACTATCATGGTTGGAAGGGACCTCAGGAGGTCATCTAATCCAATCCCCTGCTCAAAGCAGGACCAACACCAACTAAATCATCCCAGCCAGGGCTTTGTCAAGCCTGACCTTAAAAACCTCCAAGGAAGGAGATTCCACCACCTCCCTAGGTAACCCATTCCAGTGCTTCACCACCCTCCTAGTGAAAACGTTTTTCCTAATATCCAACCTAAACCTCCCCCACTGCAACTTGAGACCATTACTCCTTGTTCTGTCATCTGGTACCACTGATAACAGTGTAGATCCATCCTTTTTGGAACACCCTTTCAGGTAGTTGAAAGCAGCTAGCAAATCCCCCCTCATTCTTCTCTTCTGCAGACTAAATAATCCCAGTTCCCTCGGCCTCTCCTCATAAATCCTGTGCTCCAGCCCTCTAATCATTTTTGTTGACTTCTGGTGGACTCTTTCCAATTTTTGTAGGTGGTGGGGGTGAGGGTGGGGGAGGTGGCTCTCTGAGTTTGTTCTGAAGTGGAGGGGATGGTCTGTGTGTTTCTAGTGGTTGATTCACAACAGGTGATGGAGGGATCATTTCTGGGGACTTGGGCTTTTCTCCAGGAAAGGGTGGAATTGTAGCCTCCTGGGAAATACAGTGTCTTTCCTAGGGGCATTAGGGGGTGGACTTGCAGTATTTCCTTTCTGGAAGATTGGCCCATCAGCAGACTTGATAACAAAACTTTGACAGGTATAGCTGAAGGTGCAGCACCCAGCCCATATAAGCAGGGAGGCCATCCATGCTGATTCTCACAAGCCTGTCTCTGCATCCTACAAGCTGCCCTCACAGGACAATTCAAGTGTCCTGAATGGACTTATGATGGGGCGTCTACCCTGCACAGGCGGTAAAAGGGTTAGTGTAGGTGTGAGAGGCCAATTAACCCACCTGGTTGCACCTCGAGGGTGGGCCAAGCTTAGTTATAGATGAAACCCAGCTGGGGAGGAGCTGGTTGGTGCTATGAAGAGAGGAAGTGTGGTGCACAAGGAGGCTGCAGGGAGAAAGGGAAGGAACTCTGCAGTTTGTCTGTGGGTACTGAAGGGTAGAGAGACTGGCATGGTCAGGGAAGGGGCTCTGGGGGAAAGCTGGTCTTGGGAATTTCTCCTGAGTGGTGAGGTCTGGTGAGAGGCCAGGAGAGATGTGGAGCAGGCTCTGGTGCTGGTTTTGTACAGTAGGGCAGGATCTGGACTTCCAGGGAGAGAGCTCTGGGAGGTGTTCAGCTGTAATGTAAGATAGATGAAAGAACAAGGTCCAGGAGGGCAGAAGTTGGGGTAAGTTTGTACTGTTGGTTTGGAATTTTATGGATGGGGATTCCAGGGGAGAGCCCTGTAAGTTCTGGCCCTGAGAGAAGGGTGAACCTAGCGAGGCTATGAGGAGAAGGCCTGCAAAAAGTCTTTAGTAGAAAGAAGTCCAGGAGGCAGCAGCGAGGAGTCTGATAGAGCTGACCTTGGTTGCTGGTACGAGGGCCTGGGGAAGGTGATGCGTGTCCCGGGGAAGGTGATGGGCATGCCCTGAGAAGAAGAGGACAACTGAGGCCTGGTCTACACTACGAGTTTAGGTCGACTTTAGCAGTGTTAAATCGAATTAAGCCTGGACACGTTCACACGACGAAGCCCTTTCTTTCGACTTAAAGGGCCCTTTAAACCAGTTTCTTTACACCACCTCCGACGAGGGGATTAGCGATAAAATTGGCCTTTGCGGGTCGGAATTGGGGTAGTGTGGACGGAATTCAACGTTATTGGCCTCCGGGAGGTATCCCACAGTGCTTCATTGTGACCGCTCTGGACAGCACTCTCAACTCAGATGCACTGACAAGGTAGACAGGAAAAGCCCCGTGAACATTTGAATTTCATTTCCTGTTTGCCCA